ATAAGTGCCATAAATATAAAGCTCAGTTTCGGAATACTTTTCAAAATAAAACAAAAAAAAAGTACTGTAATTTTTTTAAAGTGGTTTCACTTGTCTTCTTTTATATTTTTACATGATGAAGAGTTTTTTTTTCCTGTGTAATTGTGTAAGAATATTTAAATGTATATCAGTTTTTCATTGAGAATTCACTTTACACTTTTCTTTTCAGACCTTTTTATTTCTTCTAGTTCTAGCTTTTTGCTCTTACAGAGTTGTTAGGGATTTAGATCGAGCATCTCGGAAGTTTTAGAACGATTTAAATGCAAGACATAGATATAATTCCAGAAAAATGACTCAAAATGAAAAAAATTTCTTCATCATACGTAATGAACGTATTTCATAGGAAATTTGTGATGAATTTCTCATCTTTTGAAGAATTTTTGAAAGAGCATTGAAAAACAAATATTTGAACTTTCTTCATTTGACCACAAAAATCTCTATCTTAACATGTTTTTCTTCTCTTTATTTTCGTATCTTTCCACTAGACACAAGCTTTGAACCAAGCAAAAAATTGAATTTATTAAAAGATTTATTAAAAGAAAATTTATTAAAAGATTCATCCTATATGTTTTAATGCAGCATGCATACCTCAGTTCCTGACCTAAATTCTAAAAATTTTGCCATCCCTGGATTTTGTCGCTCGGTGCTTCTCTAAATTCTGAAGAAACTGCTACCTAGACTTTGGCCCCGGCCCTGATATTTCATATTTATTCTCAATACCCACGTTATTAAATAAATAAAATTAAGAGAGTCTTCTATACATTCTAAGCACAGTCAGTTCTTTAGACTAAGAGAAATTTTTAATTAAATCCGAAAGTTCTCAAATGAAGAGGCAGCTCATTGAAGAAGAAATTGATTTTCTAAAAGAGAGAAAATTATTCTTCATAGGTGCATTGTTGACTCATTAACAAGTTAGGAGATAAAGCAGAGACTAGTGGAAACATTGATTTATTTATTGAAACAAATAAACTTAGAAAAGATGCTTAAGAGAAAGAAGCTGATGTAAATTACCTAAAATATTTGAAAAATTTTCAAATTAAAAAGATGCTTAAATATTTTTTGTTTTTTTGTTGTTGCTACAAAATATAAATGTTTTGTAGGGTTAAAAAGTGTAATTATACTAATATAACTTTAAAATCAATATCATAAATTATAACTGATGTAAAATTTTCTTAGGGCTTTTTTAATGGATATTTTTTAAAAATTAAAATTAATTTTAGTTGTGACTATGTAAATCTATTATAACTAAGGATATCTAAGTACGTAATTTAACATTTTGTAGCTAACTGCTTAACCTTAAGAGTTATCTCCACATGTTGAGTTATCGTCTTTTCTTACTCCTTATTGTGGATGTAAGATACAGCAGAAAAATATAAAAATTAACACAAAACTTTATTTCTTACGTCTAATGTGGCTTGAAATAACACAAAAAAACTATCACCTCGGTGCTTCAGTGGCTTATTGGAACGCTGTATATTAACAAATTAAAAAAGTGAGTTCGGGTGTCGAGAATTGCTGTAGAGTATTCAGTTCGAACTTGCTGATAGGTTCTTAATTTTATTCATTGATGGTCCTTAAAAGCCTTTAAAAGTACTTAATTTCCACGTGCAGAAATGTGTACGAACCCTGTTAAACAAGTTTGTAAGGGAAATATCTGAATTCATTACGGACTACAGATCTGAGAAATGAGACTTTTCTACTTAAAAATATGCAACTCAACAAGGCGTAGTTTGGAAAGTCAATCTCTTTATGGTCAGATTCAACCAATCATATTGGCCCTCTTATACACGACCGGAACAGTGCCACACTCTGAAAAGTTTTTGCCAAGATTTTAAAAGAAAACCTCACCTCTAACTTGTCTACTTTGTCACAACACGAGGATGTTATAAAAAAGAGAGCGATTACAAACGAGCAATGTTTTCTAAGGAACCATCAAATTCACGAAGATCTGAAGATATAACATGCTCAAGACATTATTCTGATAAGTTCTCATAATTGTTTTTCACGCAATTCAGTAACTCAAATTATACCCATATTGCCAAAGTTGTAAATTGTGATTCACTTGTTGAACATCCGTTCAAATATGCCCGAACCATTCATCACAGCACTGCATATTAAGGAATAACGTGTTACTGTATATAGTATTTACATGAGTGCACTTAATCATTCGAGAATAATTTATTATTCTCAAGTACTGTGTAATTTGCTTTTGGTGTTGTGTTTTAAAAATTCAACTCTTTATATTATTTCAAGCTCCAAGATTGCATTTATTTCAATGTTTGCATCTATATTTGTGTTTATATTTTCTTCAAGCTACTTGTGTTATGTCAAAGTTTCTACTGCTTTATATATCAAGGTCTATATTTCCATCATTTCTTCTTGCCCATTACTATTTAGACCCAAATGTACAGTTTAACACTCATTTCTGCCTGCCAATTTCCATTAACAGCTCGAAAAGCTGTAATTCTCTGGCTATTTGTGGCGCAGTGTGCTTGTTTCATATTTTATCACCAATGGACAAGAACATCACCATCTACAGGTTAAAACTGAAATGGTTATACGTTTGGATCAGCCCATTATAGTCAACGACAACGATCAACGGTAAAGTACGTAAGGTGTTACCCTTCTTACTCACTGTCAGATAAAGCTATAAGACAACTGCATTGGTGCTCGGCCAAGGAACCGCTTTAAAACTGTGCACCTTCATGAAGGTGGTCGGACACAGTGCGAAAGCATAGAAGCATTCGTAAAGGGTGCCCATATCACACATTTTTTTTTTTTGGTAGATCAATTTCTAACGTGAAGAATCAACTTTCATTAGATTACCTTTATGCCAGGACTTTGATTACACATGTTGAGTTTTGGTTTGCTACTCTGATTAGCAAAACAAAAGAAAATTCTATTTGGAAGATTCTGTTTTTCAGTCTTAGAAAAGGGTTCAGGCACATTTATAATGAGTCCCTTTTATGAGTATTTCTGCCTTTTCCCGACCATGCCCGATGCATAAAGGTGGCAATAATTCTTGTTGGGACACCGTGAAGAAGGCATTGTTTTACTCATTCTCCGGCGCACTCTACTAACGGCAGAAAGTGCGTAATTTGCATTATTTTTAAAAAAATTTTCGGCTTCTCTAGGCATCAATTGTGAAACATCATTTTCGGATTTAATTAATTCTCAGAGTCCAAGCTAAACTTCGATTAACAAGCATTATTTAATATTTTTATGCATGATATAATCGAAGTGACATTGACTATCCGTTAATAGTTGATAGGGAATTCTCCTTTCATCGGTTTTGTAAAAATCGTTGATAGTATACTGGGAATTTAAAATTTTAACTAGTTTTCCATTACTTATCTTCTTTTTCAAAACTCGTTCCATAAACAGATCTGAATGCTATTCCATAACGATCTTTAAACCATTGTATCCTTTTATTGTTTGGATTAAAATATTTCTACCCCATAAGTTAAGCAAATCCCGAAACATTTGTCTTTTAGCCAAAGCTCATTGATTGAAATATTCTTCACTATATCTCAATGAAACCAATAAAAAACTGTGGATCCATACAATTCATGATTTCTACCTTGAAACTGAAATCTAGTTTTCGTAATGTTTGAGGAAATACCGATAAATTCTTATTTCGGATTTTCCTTTTTTGGTATTATCTGCAACGAATTTGAAGTACCAAATTATTTATCAACTTCTAATATTTTCATGTTGCCTTTATCTACTAAGTCTATTGCTTCAATAATTCAACTTAAAATTAACATTATGTGTGTAGGTAGCGTTAATGTATTATTATTCACTTTGCTTAAAAGTAAAGCACGAAATTCTAACAAAATCCTTGACTTAAATTGTATAAAAATGAATATAATTTTTTTCAAAGCCATTAACAGTGATAAAGAATACTGAGAAATCAGTTTTCCGAATGGAAACTCATTTTCAAATTAAAAGTTGTCCAAAATTTGCTGTAAGTATGTATCTGAAGTGAAACTACTTTGACATAAAATAACGTCCAGTAACAACAAGTTTGAAGTCTTACACAATGAAAAATAAACGGATATAAGGCAGCGATAGTTTCTGTAAAGCTGCTGTTAAGGTTCGTTTTGGCTAGATGAGCCCTTTTCATTACAGTAGGAAAATATAAAACTTCATTGATCAAATTCGCGCCTGTATCTTATATTAACAGCAAGGACATTTTAAGGTATCATATCCTTTGAGTCTTAGCTCAGTAAGTCAGTTTTGCATTTTATTCCACTTTTAATGTCCAAGATATTCTTCGACAAGTGATCTTGTGTTTTTGAAATTTTCATACTTCCAAGAAAACTTTTACAATATGTGAATACTGCCGAAGCTATATGTTATGCCTTTTATGGTTTTTGTTAATAACCTGCGATGACCTAGCATACGCTTGGATGTGAGAATGGTGTACTGACGGAATAGTATATGCTATTTGCCCTGAAAACCACCTCAGACGCTTTGGGAAACGCACCTCTATCATGTCATAATTGCTTAATAATTAAAAAAACATTGAGAGGAAAATGGGTAGTATTATCGCAAGAACATATTGGCAATCTTATACGAAGAATGGAGATTTGTTGTTAAAAAATACTAGATCAAAATTCGAGGGACCATAGTATTTAACACGCACCTAATTTTTTCTTCATTTCTAAAATGATTCATCTGCACCTAGATAAGCAGCGCATTCCACTACCCGTTTTAATAAAACACTTTTGTGCACTTTGTTTTCTATGCTGTTTTACACATCACATTAGCGTCTATGAAGCCACCTCTTGCCTGGTTTTCCCATATTCAAGAGATTTTAGTATAAAACTATGTATCAAAACGGGACAATTACTTAAGTTTGCACGCCAGTGGTTTAGTTATACTTATTTCTTTAAATGAAAATATTTATGAAAAATTTCGTTGAGTACAGAAATTAAGAAAATAATTCGCCAGATCTTTTTGCAGTTTACACTAGCTCTCTGTTCCTCGGGTGGCAAACGGCTGTAGAAGAGACATTTATATCTCACAAAATGCAAGGAAAAGAAATAAAATACAAGGTAGGTATTATTTTCCGCTCATTGCTATGCTTTTGTTCATCATGATGGAATAATTACAAATACCTTTGTGGATATACTGTGTGTGCTAGTATACACATTACTTTGCGTTGAAAGAACCACGAAAAGCAGATTTTGCTGTAAAACTATGAATTTTGAGCACATTTAAACCATAGAGTTGCATGAAATGCTTTAGTTTTAAATCAATCACATAAAAAAGAACGGAAAAGAAGAACTGTTGACTTTCCTAATCTCCCATGGCCTGAAAAATGAGCTCTTCTTGCATAATACATATTTTTTATAAAGAAATGTGCTAAAGGAGGAAAAATGTGTTTGAGAAATCAACGTAAAAGATTTACAAAGTTTCAAGTTTAGCAGTGAACTAAATTGTAATGAAATTTAAAAATAACAATTTTTTAAAGAAAATTTACACTAATGATAAGTACTAATAACTTCTTAATAATAAAGTATGTTCAGTTTAGTTAAAAAAATCTAAACCGCTGTTGTTTATTTTGTCAAAAACTTCTTTATGTTTTCAATCCTAGTAGGCTTTATTCTCTGTTGTGAGCATTTTCTCAAAATTGCCCTGTTTTGAGCAGAAAGTATAATGGTAAGTATATTATGGTATAAATATAAAGTATAAATGCTAGATATAGGTGGAGATATAAAAGTATAGATACTATTATGGTATAAGTTGCTTAAGATCCATGCCAAAGAGTGATGTAATCCTGCGCTCTCTTTCAATGTAAAATTCGTAGACTTGTTCTGATGTTACTATCAGACAAGTCAGGTAAGTCACAATAGCAACATTCTACATAGTTTCATGGTATGACGCCAGCTTCATAGCATTACATACCATTTGTATAAATGTAACTCGTAAATTTCAAAGGATAATTTTTATGTTTATAGATCTGTAACATTGTAGCGCGTTTATTGTATCATAGTTGCTCATTAGTTAAATTGTAACCTAAATTTTTGTAATGCATACAGTTGGTCTAATCTACTGCATGTAATAACTTGTCTATAATTGTACAATAATAATGCGCTGTGTTTACAGCAGCATAATCGCTCGTCTATGTACAGTATTTAACAACTACATTTCTTCTTAAGTCACAGCTTGTTTGTACAAAATTGACGTTTGTAGCTGGTCACTATGACATATAAATGGTTAAATCATGGAAGCTAATTGACTGTGTGATAGAAGGTACCAAATTGTAATACATAATATTCAATTTCAGATAGTATATATATATGAGCTGCTTCCATAACTCCCTACGAACCTACCGTAAGTTGATACTCATCTATATATTGTAGTTAGCAACTATATATCTTTCTTGGTTTTAACAGTGTACAGAATTTCCTGGTTCAGAGCTCCCAACCTTTTCTGAACCACCGCCCCGTTTACGAAAAAAAATTTCAATCATCCAAAATGCCCTATCTTTCATTATATATAATTTTAGCAAATACTGAAATATTGTTGCATGGTATCTACAGCCATTTGATCTATTTCTATCTATTAAGAATCACAAAGTAGAAATTAATTAAAACGACTGTCAAATGCAGAAAAAAATTATTTATTAAAAATTTGTAATTTAACACAAAATCAATAAAAAATTTTAAAAAAGTAATGAGATGATTGAAACCGGTGGAATATTAACAGTTTGTTAATGCCCGGGTCCAGTTTCGTTAAAACCAGTTCCAATTCAGTGATGTGCAGTCTGTTTCGTTTTTTATACAGTAATGGAACTACTGCATTGAATCCACTCACAACCAAATATGATGAAGGAAAAGCAATTGACATTTTGATCCTGATGTATCTGCATTTTTGAATGATTCTAAAACCAAACTCGGTATATTCATGCTCAAAACATCTCGGAATTCCTCCTTAAAATCGGCATGAGGAACGTCCTAATATTAGCAGTAAGTAAGCAAATTTTTCTGTTTCGCCGCAGAAACTATTAATAATGTGGAAAAGTGACTATACTTACCTTTACTAAAATTTCGTTTGAACAGAAGAAGTTTTCCCTCAAAAACAGTCATAACTTTTTTGTTTTAATTAAATTCAACTTATTGTAAATTGGCTTCGTTAAGTATTTTAAACATGTCTGTCAAATAAGAGATGCCATTTTTGGATGTAATCAATTTTTTTGTCTCCGTTTTCAAGGAAGCCCAGTACGGAATCAAACAGATTGAAAAATCAGTTCAGATAAATACCTGAGAGCCAACGAATTGCTGTGTGTAGCAACAAGTATTTGTAATCTTATTTTACTACAAATTTGGTCTAATAATCTATTATGCAATCATTTGCATCTGATCTTATTGACTGCTTTTATTGAAGTGACTGACGTATGCAGGCGTCTATTCATATTTATTCCAACCAAATGCTGACGATGAAGAATGCGTCTGTATAGTGAGTATATTTGGTACTGCTCTTTTCAAATGTGGTATGAAATCCTTATGACGCCTGTCATTGCTGGAGATCCATTTGTAGCAGTTAACAAATTATTACGTATAGAAATTTCTCTGTCTTGAAAAAAAGAAATTTTTTCTTCTTATATGAATTGATGGTATGATAAGAATAGTGCTTCGTGATTTGATAGTTAATTAGTCGAGTTGAATGGAAAATATTCAAGCTTTTAAGTGATCGCATAAGGCTATTTAAACGTCTGTAGCCATTTCATGTATTTTTCTCCCCAGGAATTATTACTCAGAAAAATTTTTTGGATGATGCCTGGTCGTGTCTTATGATGAAGAATAATTTTTGTTGCCTGTTTGACTGTTAGCAAGATAATTTCCTCGCCGATTGTGTGCAAGTTTCCTGCTTTTTTAAAGCCCACCAGCGGCCGAGTGGTAAAATATTTACTGATAGTCCAGTCCGAGGTTGGAATCCCTGGGAACGAGCTGGCTACATGGGCGGTTTCGTGGGTTTTCCTTGTGTAGCGTGTACAAGAGTCAATTTATCTTAAAGTCCTCCACGGAGGCATCCCTTATCTTAGGCAGATAGCCCTTGAGTGCTTTGCCAAAACTAAATAAATCAAATCAAACTTGGTTTTTCGATTAACAATCAGAGATTATATGAGGCTCGTAGTCCATCATCTGGTGTAGATGACGCCGCAAAATGGTTTAATATAGTTAGCTGTTTTAAATATTTCTCTTCCAGTCCTTGAAAGTTAAATAAATCTTTATCCTTTTCATCAGCATGTATTTTATTCAAATGCTGTTACAGCCTAGAGGGCTTCATTTGAAAAAAAAATAATAAATAAAATGAACATTGCAGTTAATTAAAGACGTAGGTAATGTTTGGTTTGTAGGAAATCCGTATTCCAAATCCTCAGCAGGGTATTGGTGGCATTTCTTCTTAGATTAAAGCGTTTCGAAATTCAAAATTTACTACGGTTTAACAAAATGAACTTGACGAAGTATTTATAGATAGTTATAAACATAATGTCTGTAACGAATTTTTTCACTCACGAATATGGATTATTGGTGAAACACAGAGCCGTGCCTACATATTTTGTCTCCTGAGGCAAACCGGTATATGCTCGCCCGAATGTGCATAGCAAGAAGTTTGGCCAAAAAAAGTAAATATATAAATAAAAATAAATAATAATAATAAATAATAAATAAAAAATAATAAAGAAATAGGAACGAGGGAGAAAGAAATGCATCGTATATATGCAGGGTGTTCATAATTAAAGAACCTATTTCAAAGCTGCCTACTAGCGAAACCAGTGATCAGAAAATTGTGAAATTTCTTTTAGCAAACAAAAAAAAAAAAAAAAAAAAAAAAAAAAGTAGCGTCAGCAGAGAGTGTTTTACTTTGAAAAACCTGGAGTAAAAATGCAAATATTTTGTCGACGTCATGCAGCAGCTGTTATAAAACCTAGAAACATTCGTTTTCAATGTGTTGTTGTTCACAATGACAACCTAAAAACGTATCTGTGTGATGTTATCGCCATGCGATGATTTGTGGGTGCTTTATTTTTTTATCACGATGTTTTCGACAACAATGTTCTTAAACTGCTAAGTTTCTGAACCGCTTTATTTTCGACGACGATATTTTGCGCCACAATGTTTTACAACTGCATATTTTCTCTCTGCTTTCTTTTCTCCCACCATGTTTTTTACCACGACATTTCCGCCCTGCTTTGTTTCTTTCCTCCGCGACGTTTTCGTCCGAGATGTTTTTGCCGCGATGTTTTCGGTTGTAACCCAAGAAATAACCGTAAGCGCAAACTATACAGTTTCAGAGCAAATGAAAATATGTTTGCAACAAGACGAAACCTCGAACCATGCGTCTCGTGTAATTCAAGTTTCACTCACACACACACACACACACACACACACAAAAAAAAAAAAAAAAAAAAAAAAAAAAACGAAGGAAAGATCTATATTATTCTACATTTTATATTCAAACATTCTTATTTAGTCTTCCGATGCTATTTCAATGCAATTTCGTCAGATCTGCTTCAATGAACTGTGGGAATTTTCATCGTCGTCGCATGAAATGGACTTTGGAAAGTTTGTTATGAGAAGTAAAGAGCTCTACTTTAAATTGAAGGAAAGTAGTAGAGAATTATTAATGTCGTTAGCACAGTGCTTGCTATGCAAGTTTAATTTATGCAGCTCTATATAAATGAACAAACGTAAATTTAATACGTTAGAAAATTTATTGTTGGAATAATTTAATAATTAATTAATACTTCAAATAATAAAATTAATTCAGATAAATAATAAATATATATATATATATATATTCAAATAAACAAGAGTGATTAATTAGAGAAAATTTTCACTTATCTTTTAGAAAACTGTACGATAGTACACTAAAACTGCAGCATTTTTAGAGTAAATAAAAGTTATTAATTCTGTCAATTTAACGCGATTGTTTACATCACAGAGTTCGTTCGACTCTTTCTTCTTGATGTAATCTAAATTTGGATGTTAACAATCATAATTTATTTTTCAAAAGGAGTTCCAAATTTTTGTAGCTAATCTTGCGCCTCTTGAGGCAAATGTCTCACTTGTCTCAGCTTTGTACTAGCCGTGGTGAAACGCATAAAAATAATAAGACATCCCATAGGTCTGCCTTTTATAGACTTGATTTCGTGCATGCATCAACTTGTATGTCTTTGCATGTTTGCGATGCCGGTGTACTTGCTCTGTATTCATTCCCTTGTAGGGTTCCTCACTCTTTTTGGCTGCGTTAAAATGTCGAGGAACTTAGTGAACTGTTAAGCGACTTAATCACTCAGTTCAGATAACTAAAGTCTTAGACTCAAGAAGGGCTAACTACCCTTTATTTCATTAAAAATAAGATGAACAGTTGGCCTTTTCCTCGGGCTTTCAGCAAAGCCTCTAATTGGGCTTAAACTCAAAATAAGAACTAAATTGGAACTAATTAAAAGACTTAACCGAAGCTAATACAATTAGTAACATGGTTAGCCCTTAATGTAAACTAGCCGGCGCTGTCGAAAGGCACGTAATAAACGGCCGAGCATAACAGCTTCTAGAGGGATTTTGTCCGAAGCAAAACACGCGCTACTCAGGATTCCTAACGCTATCTCACGAAGTATGTTGAACCTTCCTTAAAATACTATTTCTATCGCCCCCATATATGTCTTCAGGGCTCATTGGGGGAGGTACCTCACAACTGGTAACAATGTTCGGAATTTAAAGTCGGTTATTACGGTGAGTTACAGAAACTAATACACAAAAGCAGAGGCTATTTTGTGCATTCAACTAGACCATAGGTTGCCAACGGGGGCGGTAATAACCTGCTTTTTGTTTTGAACATATTTACCAGTTCTGACGTTGGTTCCTGTAAACCTTAAGCAGAATCTGTTTGCACCGCATGTACATAGTTCTTACAAGTTGAACGCACCTAGTTGTTTTATCCTGCAACAGGAGAAAATAGCTTCAAGCGATTTTAATATGTGAGCGGTGCTACTTGGGGTACTAAACATTAAATATTAATAAAATATTTATCATACTTCTTAACGATTTTAAGAACAATTTTAATTTTTTTAAATGACTCATTTCATAATTTTCATATCATTTTACTGCCGTGTATTCTAAGTGTGAATTTATTCATTTTATGCCAGTAAATGAGTAAACTTTAGCTTTCTATCGTTTGAAAAGAAGTAAGAAACCTAATTTTTTAAACAGTATTTTAATTAAATGTATACAGCTTTTCTAAATGTTTCCTTTTACTTTCATTATCCTAAGTATTTACACGTATTATATCGATTCAATTTTCTTGTTACAGCCTAGAGGGCTTCATTTCCAATTTCTTAAAATTAATTTCTAGGTGAGAATGCAACAATTTCCAATTCCGGCTCACAAAGAAGTCACTCCCTCGGAAAAACAACATGAGCATTATCTCATTTTTCTACCATGGTGCATTGCCTATGGTTTTTTATTTTTCATGATCAGTCTTATCAAGAAAGTAACTGAGGAGAAAGCAAATGGATCTAAAGTAAGGAATTTTAAAATATATATATTTTATAAATTGACGTTCTATTTTACTCTGGTTTGTTAAATAATATATGTGAATTCATTGTTTTTTCAAAGCATGGTATATTTCATAAGTAGGAGCTCTAGGCATTTGTAGAAAATATGGCGCAGATCGTTTTTCTTTAAGCCTGACAATACTTATTGGTTAGCCGGGTAGAGATGATGGTTGATCTTTACATTATGGTAACTTGGCGATTTTTTGGCGAAAATTTGGCAACCAACTCTCCTACAGCAACTCTCTATTTTTTTTTCCCCGCCGCCATTTTGTCTTCACGAAGTAAAGACATGTTTCTTTTCTTTTTATCTACTGAACACTTCTTCCAACAATCTAGTAGCCGAATTACACTTATGCTAGAAATTTTATCAAACAAAACTGCTTAATCATGACAAATATTCACTGCAAAATTGGGAAAAAGTGCACAATACCATACTCCTTACGCGTTTTTCAAAATAACACATACACATAAACCATGTACACGCCGACTTATTTTTACTTAAAAAAACATCCCAGAATTGCACAAAAATGGCATTGCGCACACTCTTCACTATATCCATGTACACTGCTTTTTTCTCATAAATTAGAAAAATTTCACGAAAATACATGACAATTTTCTCAATCTTTAAACCCGGTAAAAAGAACATATATGAAATTACCTGATCGCGAAAAAGTATTTACCCTTTCCAAATATGAACATTTCCACATATAAAATAAATAAAATATCCAAAAACTTTTACCTCTAAATCATCTATTACATTATACACGTCTCCAACGAATTCATACCGCAAGCATTTACAAATACTTAGTATCAAATATTTAAATTATTTCTATGCACGTTTACTTCAACTTAAACGTATACCAAATTCCTACAAACATAAAATTCACAAAATAACTATCATTTAATTAAAATATAATTAAATTCAAAAACACTACTTAAAATATAAATGAGCACATACATTAAATTAATAAAAATTACCTTACAATCCTAATTACTTTAAACTAAATCATTGCTAATAACAATTTTCCCAATAATACCAAATTCCTTTACTTCCACCTTACATTTAGAACAATGCATAAAAATAATATCCACAAATAATTAAAAATACTAACTTACCTAATCTTCTTCAGAATCTTGATTACGTGTCCGATAAACTTTTCTTTAGTTACGGCCATGGGATCCAAAAATTCACGAACACTGTTTCACACAACACAGAATAAACCAAATACAAAATTTCCAGATTTTTTCCCGATTTCCCCCCTTTTCCGATTAAAGAACCGTAATTCGCCCATTAATATCACATGACATATCCCATGATCTCTCATTTCCCTCACACAAAATAATGCGTAATCGGAACTGAGTACTGCTCACATTATTACCAAAGTCCCAGGTAGTAACCTTTATCGCCTCCAAAATGTCGCCAAACTACCAGTTACCATATTGTAAAGATCAACCGAGATGATAAATCGCCAGATGTGGCCATGACATAGCAAATGAAGATAGTCTTCTATTATGAATATCCTGCATATTTTTATTTATGCAGATCCTGTATGCCACGTCTCATTTTGAAAAACGTACAGTAAGGGTACCTTAGGTTAGTATAATAGAAAATCCGAAAGGAATTTTCGTTTTTGTAAAAAGAGCAAAAATATTGAAAATTTAATAATATTCTTTAATTTTAGGTAATTAATAATTAGAAAATCCGAAAATATATTATAATATATATTTATATTAAAAGTCCGAAAATAATTTTTGTTTCTGCCGAAAAATTATCAAAAATATTGTCGCATCCATCATTTCAGGAAATTCAGTAATTTCAGATCTGATTAAAAAAGTGTCCTAATTAGTTACAAAGAACTGTATAACAAAATTACATATGGCTTCGTAATTTAAATACATGAGGTTGGCAATTTAAAACCCTCACCATAATTCCTCACCCGAAGAAACCTCAGTTTCTGACAATATCTTGGCAAACAAAAAAGAAATACGAACATTAATAGTTTTCTTCCCTGATGGTGAAATTGTTAAATCAAATCCCGACCGTTTCTCATATGTTCTCCAGAGGCAGAAAGCCATAGTGTACTTTTCATTTGTTGACTAATTTAATCCAGCATTTCTCAAATGTCGGTTCGTGACCTGGCACTGGATCACGAAAGTAAAATATCGGATCGCAGATAAACTTAATGAAATTATTAGCTTTACATATTATAGTAACATAAAACTATATTGTAGTTTGTCAACAGATGACATCGAAATTTAATAATTAAGTGTATTCATACTAGATTACACATAACATTGAAATTATCGTTAATGAATTTATTTTTCAATTTAGTTCCTATTTCTGTGTTATATGTGGTCCACTTGATTAGGCTTGACTGGAGAACGACAGCAGACGTAGCCAATTTTTTTGTACAAGAGTGCTTAATAAATAAATATCTGGTGGTAGTCGCTGGTATACGAAAAGTGAAACCAGTGTTTATTTAAAAATAAAAGAAATATAGTACTTGTGAGTGTAAGTTTTAATGAATACTGTGCCATTTTGTATGAAAATGTTGCATCTTATTATTGAATTAAACTAATAGAACGATATTCTAAATTTAAACTTTTGGATTAAAGTTTCAAAATATTTAATGTTCTTTTAAAATTTGAGCTCTTTTAATAGAGTGGCAAATTTATTACATTAATATTAGAATATTTATATTATAAAATTTAAGCTCTCTTGTATTAGAATGGCAAATTTATTACGTTGATATTAGAATATTTCTATTATAAAATTTGAGCTCTTGTATTACAGAACCAAATCAAGAATTTTGTTGTATGAATCAAGTTAGAGGATTGAATTTTTTTTTTATTTACTTTAGTATAATTTATTAAGAGCAAGCTTCGCAGGTTTTTGTTTATCGGAAAGCACATAAGTTTTATTGCATTCAGTGTTTTAGAAAAAAAAAGTACGTTGTGTCATGCTTGAATTTCTAATAAAAAAAAGGCTAAATTGAGCACGCTGATTTGAATTTTTGAGTATTAACTAAAAGCCTTTTAAAATTAATTTTGAAAATGCTGTCAAAGAGTTTTCTATTTATAAACATGACATTTCTTGCCAAGGATAGAAAACAAGATTTAATAGAAGTAACCGAAGAATTAGGTGAGGAATTGCCGCTAATTAGTAAGATCCCAGAAATTAAAAAAATAATCCCTGTAAGTCAGTTTTACGATGAGGAAGAAATCAAATTAATTCTATACCGAATAATTGCAGAACGACTGGCTCAGGAAGCGAAAGAAGGACGTCTGGCTCGAAAAGCAAGGGCATAAGAATTGGAAATAAAGCGGCTTGAAATTGAAAATCGAGTAATACGATCTAGAAAATCAACAGCGAATATAGTAGAATCGAGCAACAAAATCCAGCGTTCACAAATTATTCCAAAGTTCGACGAAAAAAGGGTTGAAATAGAACTATATTTGATAAATTTTGAGAGTAAAGCTGAAATGGCTCAGGTTCCTAAGAAAGATTGGCTGGCTTATCTTTTGGGTGTTTTACCCACCGAAATCTCCAATATGTTAGCCAGAGAACCATCTGAAGATGCGACTAAGTACGAATATGTGAAAACTCTAATCGTAAGAAGATATAAACTTAACAGTGAAAGGCTGAAACAGTTCTTTAATCTACATAAAAAAACTCCTGAAAAAATCTTAGAGAAATTATGCTCATGAATATTATAGTTATTTTTTGGAGTGGATTGCGGATTTAGAAATTAAGACATTTGAGAAGCTGAAATATTTAATAGTTACCGAACAAGATAAATATTGGGTTCCCATGGAAGTAAAGGATCATTTTCGCGACCAATGGATGAAATTAAAAACTCCATATGAGCTAGCAGAAAAATTATACGAGTATGAGAGTATCAAACAGAGCTTTAAGAGGGAAAATCCTAGAAAACAGGTTTGAAACTTCAAGAAAGTCATCAAAACATGAACAAAATGCAAAGTGGTTATCATAATAGACATTATCCTAAAGAAATCTCGAAAGATTTTAATCCTAAACCTATAATTAGGACATAATGTACTAATAAAATTCATGAAAGGAAATTTGAGAAACGGAGACAACCTCTTTGTTATGAATGCGGATTATACTCGCATATTCGACCTATTTGTGATAAATCCAAGCAGAATTTAGAAAGTGTAGAATCCAATGAAACTGTACCCTCAAATGAATTATAGTTTTAAAGATATTATGGCACCATATACCAGCCTAGATAAAGTAAATGGCTATAAAATGCCCATACATAGAGATACCGGTGCAACTTTGATTTAATTTGCCAAAAGTATGTGCAGCCTTACGGGTGAGACCGTGTGGATAGGAACACCTCTGAAAGAACATCCAGTGTGCTTACCTTTGGCTGAGGTACAGCTTGAATGTGATCTTGGTCATATAATAACAAAGGCTGCAGTCTCAAAAGATTCATTAGATCAAGGAAGGTATCTTCTAGGTAACAAAACTGCTGCATTATTTGAAGAAGCAAAACTGGATGAAGAAATTCAAATTCATATGATAAACGCCGTACAAACTCGTGCTCAACAGCGACGACCAAAAGAAGCGGAAAATCTGGTCTCAACAAATGAGTTAAATTCTGAAATTGAACTTTACGACAAAGACACGTTGACTGGGAATGAAAGTTTGCCACCTGTGAACTATGAACGCTCAGAACTAGATCTGATAAAGGCCTCTCCAGAAATATTTATATAAGAACAGAAGGAGAGCTTCGAATGGAAGCCGATTTATGAAGAAGCTAAAATGAAATCTTCTAAGTGTACCAGGTATATGTTTAAAAAAGCAGTTGATGACTATTTGTCATGAAGAAACTACAGCTCATCTTGGTGCAGCAAAGACGAAAGATTCATTATTCAAAAATTTTATTGGCCAAATTGTTACAAAGATGCTGAGAATTTTGTTAAAACTTTTGACAAATGT